AAAAATAGTGCTCTTATATTGCCATGGATATGATGAGCCATGATGATGAAAGTGAATGTGTTACTATATATTATTCTAACAAATGGTGGAAGTGTAGTTGAAAAGCAAACCCAAAAGAAGAAAACCAAACCTTAAAGCAAAGTAATTTATGACATTCTCTTGGTTTTTTCTTTCATTTTTATTTTTCTTTCCCTCTTCTTTAATTAAGAAAAAAAAAACAATCTGATACATAGCTTTAAATGAGAAACGAGAAACAAGGATAGTTACAAACACTTCTATTTTTTTAAATTAGAAATTAGAAATAAGAAATGAAAATATTACCCGGGTTCTAAAAGCTTTATATTTTACTAAAAGTATCAAAGCAAATTATATTCATCTTGTTTATCTATTATTATTACATCCAACTGTAAAGAAAAAGAATAATGATTCAAAATTTGAAAGTTTGGATGATTTAATTTGGAGATAAGAAGATATTTTAACTTTTTCCCAAATTGCTAAAGCGTTCAATTATTCCTTGCTGTGAAAGTTTTACTCAAGAGCCATCATTCTTAATTTATGGAACTTAAAGTTGAATTCGGTGATCAAGAGAAGAAACATTTCAAAGTGATTTGAATGAACTAAAACAACAAAAAATAATTTTAATTTATTAATTATTCTTTCTTTTGTCTTTTTTTTTCCTTCTATTTCTTTTTTAGAACAAAGCTTGAGTTTAAAGTTACAAGGGAGAGAGATTTTATATTAGAAATTTTTTTAGGGTGGGAAATTGAACCAACGATTTTATTTAGAATGATGATTATAAAATATAGTCATCTAGTATATGAAATTTCCAAATCATACTCTTAGACTCGAACTCACGACTTTTTAGTTGAAGGTAGACGTTTCAACCAATTGAGTTATGCTCGACTTGGTTAATACTATTTGTAGTTTAAACACCATCTTTTACCAAATTTGAAACTATATCATTTTATTGAAATCTACCATTATTTAAAATGAATATTTCAAGAAATGGTTTGATTTATTTTTGGTGAATTTGGGATGCCTTAAAAAAAATGCATCTAAGTGAAAATAATCACTTTTGGGAAAAAAAAAAAAAAGTAAGTAAAGGTGAGTTTGAGATGCCTTTGGTAGAAAAGTATATTTAAGTGAAGCATTTATTTAGTAATTAAGCATGTTAAAAAAAGAAAATGAATTAAATGTTTCATCTTAAAAACACTTCAAGTGTTTTTTATTATCTATTTTTAGAAAATTTCAAATTGCTTTTGATTATTCAAAAATTTAAAAAATGCTTTGGGTTAGATATACTCTTTAAAATCTTAACCAAACACTACCAATTTTTCCTTTTAAAAATACTTTTAGTCCTCCCTAAAAGGCATCTACCCTTGAAATAAAAGGCTGAACCACCTTCATATATATTTATGAATTATGATATAATTTCTCTTATTTTTACTTATTTTTTCATTATATATATTCTGAGTTCAACGTGTAAAGGTGAGTTTGAACCTCTAACGATTTTTTAATCGAAGATATATATAATGGTTCAAATCATAGTTTGAGATTGAACTTTGGTTAAGTAACCCAACACTCTATAGGTCAATGCAAATTAATTAAGAACAAAATAGATTGTTGAGAGGGTAAAATAGAGTTTGCTTCATGGTTCAGCCAAGCCAGCAATGAAGTATCTCTTTAATAGACGACTTTGCTTCTCATTGCATTCTTAAAAAAAAAAAAAAAACCCAAAGTATCAAGAAGTTTAGGTGAGAACAAAACCACTTTATTTAATTGAATTCATTTATTTTTCAACAACATCACAATCTAAATTAAAATATTTTAGAAGTAGGATAATATTCTAATGTTTTAAACATACAATGTTCTTTTTAGTACAACATGTGAGGGTAGAAATCGAAACTACAACCTTTTGGTCGGAGATATAAAGTGTTTAATTAAGAAGTATTCTTTCGAGTATTTCATATATATGATTTTTATTCCCATTTACCTATAATTTCTTTCGCTCGTTCAAAGTACTTCTCTTTAATAATACGTAAGGTTGGTGATATTTCTAGGGAGTCCATCATTTGCATGAAGAAGAAGAAAGAGGCTCATGGTTTCATCGGGTGTCTCCATCAGCCATTGGTTTTTGAGCCATCACGCCAGGAAGATCGATATCGATGGAGTCCTGAGTTCTTACACTGGTTGAAATTGTCGCAATAGAACCTTCTTTAATGAACACAGTTCTCGAAGTTGCAATGGTTGTACAAGGATAAGAGACCAACAAAAAGAGGATGAAGAAATACAATAGAGGACGACGTTGTAAAACAGCCATTGATGAGGAATGAAATTGCAAAGACAGGATCAAGGTTGAAGAAATAAAATGTTTGAGAGGTTTCTTGTGTTGGAAGAATGATGTGTTTCAATGGGGGTGGGGGCTTAAATATATCCTATCTTTGTTAAAAAGTTAAATTCTTTCACGGTTTTGACAACTTGGAAAACAAAATTGATCTGAAATTATACAAATAACAATGTTTTTTTTTTTTTGTTCACGTTTTCTAAAATAAACATATACCACGTTTAGTAATTTCATCCAATATCTAACAAATTTTACGCACAATTATTATGTTGTGAGGGGCAACAAAAGAGAGATTAATATATCTATATGAACCACGCGAAGACCAATAACTTTACAAGCTATGAACAACCTTGATTTGAATAATTTTGATTAAATATGTGGTTTAAGGTGGAAAAATAAAACCAATATTTGAAGTGAAAAAATATATATTGAAAGCATGTATAATTAATAATAATTAAAAAAAGAGAATTGCTCTTACATCCTGTCGGGGACAACGGTACTCTCATACCTCAAGTATTTCCACAATAGTATGATATTATCTACTTTAGACATAATCCTTACGGTTTTGCTTTTGGTTCCACCCAAAAGGCCGCATGCCAATAGAGTTGATTTGTCCTCGTCTTATACCATGGATTATTCCCTTGCCTATCTAATGTGAGACTTTGTTTGCACACTTTACAAACACAATAATCTTCTTCTTGAACAAAGTGCCACTTATATCTTGTCTCGAATAGTCACGCACTCATCTACTCCCGACCGAGGACGAGAGCCTGTTAATAGCCACACACCACGTCATAGTCAAAACAAGAATATCTATTATTGTGCATTTTTGTTACAATATTTTTGTTAAAGTTTAGATTCTTTTTCTTCTAAACTTAGGATATACTTTTGTATAAATAGAGCCTTTGAGTGCCATCATAATACAGTGAAATATAAACATCATACCTTCTGTGTGAAACTTCCTCTTGTGAAATTCTAACTTGGTATCAGAGCTGTAATGGCCAACGCCTCCTCCAACACCTCTACCCACCCCACCTTTAGCAGCCCACCACTCAATCAATTGCTTAACCAAATCACCACAATAAAGCTAGATAGAACCAATTACTTGTTGTGGAAAAACCTAGCCTTACCCATATTACGAAGTTACAAACTAGAGAGACACCTCTCCGGCGAGCACCCATGCCCGCCCATGTTTGTGCAACAGTCGATTGGTAATATGGAAACAAGCCAAACGAACATATCTGTACCATCGAGTTCCTCTATAGCAACAGAAGCAGCCGTCAATCCACTATATGAGTCATGGGTAACTACCGACCAGCTACTTCTTGGTTGGTTGTACAACTCTATGACTCCAGAAGTTGCAACACAGGTGATGGGGTACGAAAATGCTTGTGATTTATGGGCTGCCATACAAGAACTCTTTGGAGTACAGTCTCAGGCGGAAGAAGATTATCTCCGTCAGGTATTTCAACAAACTCGAAAAGGTTCTCTTAAAATGACTGATTTTTTGC